CAAACATTTGAACAATCAGAATTATAATTATAATGCTCCAATTTTGTAAATAGAAAAGATGCATCAAATATGTGTAGTGCATGAAAATGCGTGATGTAGACATTTGATGACAAATCGAATTATGAATTTTATCTCCGCCAAGGTACATCAAATCTTAGAATGAATTAGTATGGAAACTTATAATTAAATTAAACTACAAAAGGTGTGATATCACGTAAAAAACTTACCTTTTTAAAAAAAGGTAAAAAAAAGCACCAAGTCTAAGCTCCAATTCAACCGAATATATTTTGTTACTCTATCTTTTTTGCAAAAGTATAATCTCTACAAAAATATCTTTACTGCAAAAGTATCTTCTTTACAAAAATAGTGTCTCCATATTATATAACAACGCGGAGAAAGAAGGATTGAGGATTATAACAACACCGTAGTATTAATATGGATCGATAAGGAGAACAAAATGTCTTCAGCATTCAGACGCAAATTATAAAACAAATGAATATTGAACGATCGTGTAACTCGACTGTCCGACGTAGTCGGACGCGTCTATATTGATTAAGACAAATGAAAGTATGTTTTAGACCATCGACCACGAAATGAAATGGCTTTATCCGAAGAATTCGGAGGTGCTCGCAATGAGCTTGCAATTGCGTAGAATACGCTTATTCCGGCGAAGCCGGAACGGAATCAGTGGTGGTACTTATCGGTTCGATGGAGCGCAAGAGTAACGATAGTTTAACGTAACGTCCTTCCTTCTGAATTCCAGTTATATAGCAGCAGACAACTCATTAATCTCTGGTGGAATGTATTCCTGCGTTCAGCTGCTCAACCGCCTTGTATACTCTCGCTCTCCGCCGTCGAAAGCGCGGCGTCGGGGCGACGTCCACCGTCTTTGCACCGTTGATGCTTGACGGAATTTTAGTAGGCAACGCACTCAACCTCGACTTCCTTAGCAGTTGCAAACAAGAAATCGCAAACACCACTCGAAAATACTAAAACGTTATCCGAATCACAAACGTGGACTATCGCAACGACTTCCTGAGACCGAATGAACGACGCACGATCTCTTTTTCTTCCGAGTCTCGCTTGACAACGCGTAACTAACAAAACAGTAATCGACGATCGGCGTTCGTATTTCCCCGCGTTCGGCGCACCGCTGTTGCTATCCGCCTTGACACGCAAGCGCGCAGAAAGCGCGGCTTTTTTAAACAGCTGTTCTTGCAGGATTTGTGGCAAGAGATTTATTCAATTAGCAAACTGGATTGCTGAATGTTTTCCTGGAGAATTTGTTGTAAGTACACGCATTTGTTTTATGAATTTGTTTCACTTTGACTTTAATTTATATTTCTAATGGCTCTTGTACAGGAAACATATTATATTCCGTCGAGTGAACGAGGGAAAGGGCGTTGTTCTGCGGGCAAGTTGTACGATGCCTATACGAACGTAAATAAAGAACTCAGGAAGGTTAGACTGAGAAAAACTAGTTCTAGTGAAACTTCCTCTCAATCGCTCGCATCAGGATTGTATATTGTAGCATCTACCCCTACCCCTCCTGAACCAGGTAACGAACCCAAAATTGACTAACAGTTCATGCATTAAATGAAATGATGCTATTTAAATACTAAATTTTTCTTTCTTTTATCAGGTGACCTAAGATTGACAAAGAGCTTAGAATTTTTGAAAATCCAAGTTGAGCCATGGGAAGAAATTAAGGAATGCTGGGAATATTCAAGTTCTTTCAGACTAAATCATCTACGTGATCAAGAGAATAAAGACTTAAAAGTGACTGATTATATTAACAAATATCCCATTCTTAGACAACCAGGAGGACACCTTTTAGTCTGTTTTTTTATGGCCATATTATCATACAAATGCGTATTGGTTTTAAAAAGTTATTTTTATTTATATTTTATTTACTTTTTTGTCAACAGCTTGAGTATGATTTTGAAGTTCTTTTTAAAGGGGCAGAAAATCGTATGTTAACTCACTGGCCACAATTTTCAGCTAAAGTTAAACGTGAGCTGATCAACATTGGTGTACGAGAAGAAAGTCTAGGTGTGAAAGTGATATTTTTCTTATGTTTTGTAAATTTTAAGTGTCTCTTCCCCTAATTCTTATGTTGGACTTAAAAAAATGTTCATATTTCTTCATAGATTGCGAGGCTGCCGTGCTGTACAATTATTCTAAACTCTTTTCTGTGGTGCCAGTTAAGGTTCCAAAAAGAAAGCCTTGGCGTGCCTCCAGAGCCGAAATTCAAGAAGGATTCCTCGTGCATTTAAAAGTATGATTCTTAAAGACTTTTTAATTTTCACTTAAAACAAAACGTGTTTTATGTTAGCAATACTTTGGTATTTTCCCAGATAGCACAGGA